ACCATAAAATAAATACCCAAGAAATACATTGCAGTTACCCTTTAAGGTACAACGGGCTGAACGCACAATTAAGTTTTCAGAACACAAATTGTTTTCTTTATACTTTTTCTACATCATATAATTTTTTCAATTTTTTTCTCAATAGTAAGATGCAATAAACTTTACTAAACATTTTAAAATGGATAAAAACTGAGTAAAGAATTCTTGAAAATAATGAGAGTACTTAAATTTTTAGTAATATGATTGTTTTTATAATGTTATTTTCTATTGACGTATGTTCCATCACTTGGCAAAAGTTCTTCAAGTTTTGCAAAATGGGCTGCAATCTCTCATTGAGTTTTGTTCACTTTCAAACATCAGTGTATCACAAAAGCATTAAACTGCATACAAACTTGATTGAGTGTTTGCCTTCATTATGCCACGACTGCAAGCTTTAGAGCTTCGTAGAGCCTGCATTCACCAGATGAAACTGCTAAATAAACAATAGTATACTGGTGGCCATTTTTATTAATGGTTTGACTAATATAACATCATAACTTAACCCCACCTTGCAATTAATTTTTCCCACCTGTTTTATAGTATACAGAGGTAACCAGAAATGACGCAAGATCAAAGATGGCGTATAAACTATGAAAAGTTATGCAGGAATTTTCTTAAATATTTAAAGTTCAATGATCTATAACTTCTTAACAGTGCATGGTAAAAATTTAAAAATAGCACAAGTTGTACAACTTTTTTTTTACTATAAAATGACAGCAATTAAAAAAATATTAAAATTTCATCCAAAAGTACCTTAAAAGCCATTCATCTACTACAAACACGAACACAACGATTTAATTCTTCATTAGGCAATAATGCTGATAATTGTGTATCATTAATACATAAATGATAATGCTGTTGTAATACATTATATACTTTACTCACATCAACCAATGATACACCTTTTGGGTAGAACAGACGTTCACATGTACAGCATATGCTGGTTGGAGATAGCCGTATTTCCTTCAGAAACTTCTTAAAGTCTTTTCTAGATAGTTGTTGCTGACGTATACTTTCCGGTGATGGAGCTGGAGGTGGCTGACCCTGATTAGCCATAACTGTCTACAATATTCTCTCATTATTTGATTACGTTAAGCTCTTTGCTCTTCAGATTCTGAGGCTCGTCTTTCATGATCTCTTTCACAAAGATCTAAGAGACTTTCTTCTCTTTTAGCTTCTGATTTACTGGCACATTGCTGCTGTGATCTTTCACTTAAGTCAGCAAGACGTTCCTGTCTTTGAGCCTCTGATTCATTGTTAACTCTTTGCTGACTTCTGTGTTTTTGACCACTTAGACGTGCTTCTCTGTGATCTACTGATTCATTATGTATCGATGTAGCCCTCTGTGCATATTCCCGCATCTTTCTCAATTTTTTGGTCTTATCTTCTTGAGATTTTTTAGATTTATGTTCCCTTTCCTATTTTTATATATTCAAGGCGTCTTTTTTTATTATTACTCCAGTCTTGTAATGGTACACGACGCTTTATTGGCGGGCCACAGAAAGAATCTTTGATGTCTCTCTTCTTATGTGACGATACTGTTGTAGTGTGTGCATGTTGTTGATTGGCAGATTCAAGCATCCATTGAGGTAAAACTTGCTTTGTCTTAGCAACCGTTTTTGGAAAGGAAGTTTCCATCTTCTAAACTGAAGTTTTTTTTGAAGCAGAGCGTCTTACATCAGTTCCTTAGTTATATTATAGGCTAATAATAATAATAATTAAGGCATGGCCTAATTTGATTGGATAATTTTTATGAACTACTAGACTGTATACCTATTAATTAATTCTTGACACATTAATTATTATTGTTGGGTCCTAAATTATTTATTACAATACCTGCATTCACTAATTTATTTTAGTACTGAAGATTGAAGTTAAAATGGGAGACGACAATGAAGAGTATGATCTACTTGACGACAACGATAGAAATGATTGCATGATAATTACAATTAAATAAGTTATATATAATCTTCACTAGGAGGAAATGCAGTACTCTCAACCAGTGACTCCAATCGGCTACCACCGGTAGATGACACTGGCGATGATTCAGCCACAGAACCACCACACAGAAGACCACCACCTCCCCCTTCCATAAAACCACTAACTCCAAGACGGGAAGACAGGCATCTCGATTAAATAGCTGCTGACCGTGGTACCGGTCATGAAGGTTGTGGTCGCTGACTGTTATTGGAAATAGGACGGGGAGAGTGTAGAGGAGCAGGAAGAGGTGGTGGTGGTAGAGGTGATGGGTCTCCTCATAGAGGTACCGG